GCATCCAGTGAATCCCAACAGTACCCACACCGGGAAAACAACACCCAAAACGCTGCTGGTCCCAAAGGGCTTCTACCTCACGGCATCAAAAGGTGAAAGGGAGCAGAGCTTATGGCAGAAAAGGGGGCTGGGAGGTGATGTGGCAGGAGGAGATAGGAAGAGCTGTCATGAACCTCACTGGAAATTCCAAGACATCTGAACTTCCTTTTCCTTGAGTCCAGAACAAAGAGCCACCATGTCAATATTTAGTAGAGAACAACAACAACAACAAAAAGTGTTTTAAAAGTAGAAAAACGCTTTGCTTTGGTAGTTTTGGAGCCCCACAATGTGAATATTAAATGTTTATGGGGAAATGTAACACCAGCAGGTGAAAATATGTAAATGGATTTTTTTTTTTTTTAGAAAGAGACCATGAAGTGAAAACATGGAAATTATCTCTCTTGATTCAACTTGTTGCTACATTTCTATGAGAAACGCAGATCTCGAGAAAGAGGCATCTTTCCCTCACTCTGCTCTGGTCTGGGTCTGCCCAGCCTCGTGCCAAAGCATCCCTGTCTCCTGTGCATGCCTGTCATGGATCCACGTGGCACCTGATCCCAGCGGGGAGCTCAGAGGACAGGGTGGGTGATGCAGGGTGCCAGACTCCCAGCAGGATGTTAAATTCCAGGCAGTGTCTCAAAATGCCTCTGCAAAGTGAGAACAGCCCTGAAGGCTCCTGGTCCCATTCACCTCAAAGGAAACAGTCTGAGGAACGAGAAGTTCTCTGTCTGGGAAGCCTCACGAGATGCCAGGTGATATCTGGGAGCAGCCAGGATCTGCTGCTTTTCCCTCCCCCAAGTCCTGCTGTGACAGCAGCAGCCTGACAGCCTTGTCACCTGTCTCATGCCCCAGGTCTCTGCTGGCTTTCCAGGACAGACACCTGGACACACTGGATATTAGGAAAAACATTTCCCACGAGGATAGCAAAAAATGGGAAAAGGGTGATGGAATCTTAGAGATACTCAAAAACCTACTGGACAAGATCCTGACCAGCCTCACGACCTGGACCTGTTTTGAGTGTGAATCAGAGACCTCCAGAGGTGTCTTCCAGCCTAAGACACCTGGGCAATCCTTCCTGCACCTCCCCATGTCCCCTTGCTCCAGGCACTGCAAGCTGTGCCTCATCCTCACTATACCTGTGCAGGGTTTGTGCTGCCTGGCCAGATGATGTGAATATGTGGCCACAGCTACTGCTGTTGCCTTTCCATCCCTTGGTACTTCCAGGGTGTCTCTGCCAGGACAGACTCTCCATTTCTTTCCTGCCAGCAGTGACTGGACAGGCCAGTGCATCCCTAGGAGGGACCTGGCAGGAATCAGCAGCATGGTGTCTGAAGAAAGAGGAGGAGCCTCAGCAGATTGAGAGCATCCCTTCACCCCCACTGCTGCCACCTGTCACCCTTGCAGGCTCTGGTAGCCAGATGTATGGGGAGGGAGGGCTCAGGATGCCATCCCGGGGCAAAGGGCTGCACTGAGCACCTGCACCCAACCACAGGCACCTTCCTGGTGACAGCTGTGGGGACAGCTGGGGGCCAAACTGCCCCACACCATGCAATGCAGCACTTCCACACCCTGAGGAATCTGAGGTGGGGTTGCTCCACCAGGTCCCGTGCAGGGTGTGCAGTGGTGCCAGGGATCACAGCTGGGCTAACACTTTGAGCACCAGGCAGCTGTTCCCATTTTCCTTGTCCTCTCCTGCATCCCCAGCTTGTTGCTGTCTGTCCAGGGAACCCCTAACAGCTCCACCACCTCTGCTGCAGCTCCAGATCAACTCCCTGACACACACTGCTGGCTGTGGGTGACAGAGATGGGGTGTGTGACACACGGCTGTCAGGACTCACTGGCACATCAGCCGAGGGCGAAATCTGCTCTCTGAACAGCTCAGCTCTCTTGGGTTGATGGAGGGTGGCTGAATAGGAACTGAATAGCTGACCTTTAGTGCTCCCTGGCTGCTCCCTAAGGCCAGGCTAAGACACACTTTACCCTGCAAATACATCATGCACTGAGTGATGAGCCAGGCAGGAAGGATGGTGAGGGCTGCTCCAAGAGAAATGGGCTGTTAGGGCCAGCAGGAGACCTGAAGGAGCTCAGGCTGCCTGCAGGAGCAGTGCAGGGACCTGTCACCCCATGTGACAGTCCCTAGGCTCTCTCCAGGACTGCCCCAAGGCACCAGCATGTCTCAGCCCCTACTGGAGAGGTGCCCATGGAAAGAGGTGACACTTCTGCCCCGTCTCCTTGACCACAGCTGCCACCCCACCAGCGACTGAAAACACTTCATTCTGGATGGATGGGATCAGTCCAAGTCCAGGGAGGTGCAGGAGTGAGCAAGGACAGGATTCTTGGAGATAGAGGCACAGCAGAGGCACAGCATGGTCAGGATGAGGCACGAACACCAGCTCATTAGTGGTGAGGCAGAGTCTAATCAGAGGTGATTACAAGGATCCCTTCTTTTGCTCCCGAGGAAGTCCTGCTCTCCACAGTGCCAGTGACTTCCTTAGAGATCAGAGCATGGAGCAGAGGAGCTGGAAATTTTTGGGAGCAGCTGCCCACCAGCTCTCTGCTCTTTCTGCCATTCCAGGGCTTGCTCTTCAGCACTCACAGCTCTCCAAAGGAATCCAGCATTTCTTTACATATCTGAAGGTATGGATTTTAAACCTGGATATCCAAGAAGAGCTTAGATCTCTCTCCAATACTTTCTACACAAATTTATGCTGATTTGCTTTGACAAACTACCCCTGGCTGCCCTCTGGTACCTGAGGAGCTAACCTCACATGGCTCGCTGGAAGTGGTGACAAGAAACAGGAAGAAAACCCAGCTCTCTAGTCCTCCACCAGTAATTCCCAGTTCATCGTGCCTTTCCCTCCTCTTTTGGTCTCTCACTGGCAGGGTTTAAGGCAGAAGCACCAACCGGGCTGGTTTTCCCCGAGGAGGAAGGGAGGGAGGGAGGAAAACTGCGGAGCCTCCAGCATCCCCCGGGCTTGCAGCGGAGGGTCCCCTCGGCCGGGCTGTGCGGAGTGGGCTGGGGCAAAGGATCGTCACTGGCGCCACCGTGTGAGCGCCGTCGGGGGACCGACCCACGGGGGACCGACCCACGGGGAGCGCGGGGACGGGACCGACCCACGGGGCAAGTGCGGGGCCGTGATCTTTGCTATCCACGGGAGAGCGCGGAGTCAGGGATGGGGGAGAAACCCACGGGGGAGAGCGGAGCCACGTGCGGGGCGCAGCCCGCGGGGAAGAGCGGGGCCGGTGCAGCCCCGAGGGACCGGACAAGCTCCCGAAGTGACGCGGGGCTGTCCCGAGGACCCGGTCCCAGCGGAACCCAGAGCGCTCTGCCCGAGGCAGGAGCATCTCAGAGCATCCACCCGCCCCGCGGTTTGCCCAGCCCAAGCCACATCTCCGCGGAGCTGACGCGCAGCGTGTTCTCAGCGGAGCGGGAGCCACGGGTGCCCCATCCCCACGGATGCCTGCGAGGGTGGAGTGGGTGCCTGGCAGGGCTGTCCCTTGTCCCCGCAGCATCAGTGCTGCAGCGTTCTGCAGCCTCCCCGCGCTGGCAGCCCACGTGCTCCAGTGACTTTTCACTCGTGGGCAGCCGGCTCCAAACCGAGCCCCGGGGATTGCTCCGTGCAGGTCGTACCTCGCCTAACAAGTGGTTCCCTCTCCCAGGGGAAACACAGCTTGTATGACACATTTCTCTCGTCTTTCACGCTTTCCAGGGAGCATCATCCTTTTCTGTTTCTCTCCCAGTTAACCCAGTACAGCTCCGGCCACCCGCTGGCTGCCACAAGATTGCTGCTCGGACAAGTGGGATGAGCAGAGAAGCTCTTACCCAGCTGTGGCAGCTTCCACCTGGCTTTGCAAAGCCCTTCCCGCGTGGGTTTGGGTGCTTTGCTCTGACAGCTGAGCACCTGCATCTCAGGACAATCCAGGGACACCACAAAAACAGCAACACGGTCTGTGTGTCAACCCTGGACACAAGTTCCCTCTCAGCACGATGAACACAACACGAACGTCCCCAGCCCTATCTGGGGGCCACTGGTGGTCCTTTGATGACTGTGGTACACGTGGCTTCCCTTGGCAGCACCCATGCTGGGAATGCCACGGTCCTTACCAGCCTATCTGCAGCACAGCTGGAGCTGGAAGCTGCAGCACTTTCTGCATATATACCCAGGAAGCATCTTCCCCAGGGATAACTTGTCTCCCTGAGAGAGATGTTTCCCCCCCCCTGGTTAAACCCTGAGATTTTTCCATGGTCAGTCATCGGGATCCTCAGTCGTGACCAGTCTGATGGCACCACCGAGACCACCTCCGGGGCTAGAAATGAACCCTCCAGTCCCTGTGGCCAATTAACCCTTGGGGGTATTAACATCAGAAAGGCTGTTAAACATTCGGATAATCAAGAACCTTAAAATAACTAAATAATCAAAGCACAACACCTACCAAACCCCCACACGTCTTACAAGACTTTAATATTCATTTTTAAGAGGCAACTCAGACACTGCTGGTGGCCAGCTCAACCCAACACCCTCCCCCCCCACACAAAAAAAAAAAAAGCCCTGAGTTATCGCAGCTATTGAAATGTTTGACAGAAGGATCCCAGAGCAGTTTGCACTAATTGCTGTGTAAAAATACTCCATTATGTGCTCAGACAATCAGAATCGACCCAGCAAATCAGCTGCCCCGATCCGCTGCAATCACGGAGCAAAGCATGCAGAACATCGCAGTATAAACAGCGCTCGCGGAGGGGCGCAGGAGGGAGGGGGGGATTGGCAGGTCCTGCCCAAGGAGCTGCCTTTTTTTTTTCTTCGTTGTTGTTGTTGTTATTTTTGCCCGCTTTCTAATTTCCACAGGAAATTTAATTTGGGGAAAAAGTGGCACAAGCTTCCAAGCCCGGAGGAAAGCGGCGGCCGACGGAGGGGGGTCCGGGCAAAGCAATTCCAAAAAGAAGCGGCGAGGGCTGTACTTACAGGTAAGCGGTGAGAGGGCTCAGGTTGGCGGGGACCTCCGAGAGCCCCAGCTCGGAGCAATCCACCGAGAGCATGATGCCATCCTCCTCGCAGTGGCACTGGGGCGGGCAGGAGGGCGCAGCACCTGGCTCCACGGGCACCGCCTGGCAGCGGGCAGAGGAGGCCAAGAGAATGCCCCAGAAAAGGAGTCTGTCCATCCTCGCCTTGGCTGCAGCTGCGGGGACGGGGCTCGGGGCCGCCGGCCGGCTGCGGGGCTCGGCGGGGCGCGGGGGAGCGATCCCGCAGCCCGGCACGCAGCGGGCAGGGTATCTCCCGCAGGTCGGAGCGTGGTAAGGATGCAGCCAGGGGAGGAAAGGCATTGTTGAATGATCTTGGTTATTGGGTTTCAAGGGCTGGGCAGGGGCGTGAGACACTTCACTGGGAGGAGTTAAACTTTCTACTCTTTTCCCTCTCTCTCTCTCTCTCTCTCTCTCTCTCTCTCTCTCTGCCTTAGAGCTGGCAGGAATTTCATTCAAAGGGAAGAAAGGGGGAAAAAAAAAAGAAAAAGAAAAAAAAAAAGAAACCTCAACAAATAAAGACCTGTTCATAGCTCCGGGACCCAGGCTTGTTTTGTAACCATGTTTTTGTGAGATAGCAGGGCAGGGGAAGGCAGAGCTGGCTCTGGCAGGGCAGAGGAGTATAACTAGGGAGGCAGAAGTGCCCAACCAGCACTTCAAGGGCTCCAGACTTTGGGACGCTGAAATATAACCCCAGATAAAGGACTCTGTGTCTGTGCTGGCTGTTAAAAGCCCAGCTGCGACTGGAAAGTCAGGGTGCAACTGGGGAGAAGGGAGCGAGGAGCTCAGGATGAGCTGTTTGCTGGGAGCGGTGATGCCCAGGGCTGTCCGTCTGCCTGTCCCGAGCTCTGCTCCTCTCTCTCCAGCAGCCCTGCGTCAGGCAGGGGCTGGGAGGAAGATGCAGGGGGATGGAGGGTGGAACGCTGTGCTCTTGATATAGTGTTGCCCTGATCAAGGACACGTGTGAGCTGTGTTTCCAGGAGCTGCCCAGCACTGGTGCCAGGAGCGGGGGGCTGAGTTGCTCCGAGAGCTATTTTTAACCCCGGGTTAAGTGGCCAGAGGCCAAAGTAGAGGAATAATCTATTGCCTGGGGGCTTGAAACCACATCACCTGGAGCTGCATCGTGGTCTGGCTTACCTGGCTTAGTACTCATGCCTGCCCAGCCCAGGCCCTCGCAGTGTCCCAAAACACTTGGGATGTGCATCAGAACAGGATTTCTTGCTCTTTGTGTGCCAAGGAGCTACCGAGTTCTAGGGCAGCAGAAACACCTGCTCAGCAAAGGGAGCTGGATCTGCAGTGGGAGAAGGCTGCAAAAGTACAGCCCTGTGTGTCCTCTCTGATGGCAGCCACTGGCTGCTCAGTGTCACTGTGATGCCCCCAAACAGTGTGACTGCTGTGGATTGAGGGATATGGGTGAGCCTGGTCCTGCAGCTTAAACCACGCTGTGTCTCTCTCTCCACAGGGCCAAGAATCTCATCTGTAATGGGGACAGCTGAGCACGGGTCTCACACTGAAGACAGACAGCTCTCCAAGGGGCTTTAGGTGGATCTGGACTCCTGGTGTGTTCGTCCCTCTGCCTCTCCCACAGCCAGGAATGGAGGAGGTGGATGGTGCAGGGAAAGAAGGGTCCAGGTTTGGGTGGCTGCAAAGTGCCCCCCAAAGTCCCCCCTCTGACTGTGACCACGTTATGGTAAAGTGCCACATGGCCAAAGCACACACTGGGAGATGCTTTCACAGCCCTGCTTCCTCTGAATGGGCTCTTCCTTCTGGCAAAAGAGTTTCCTGATTGATATCCCCATTATCTCAGGATGAAAGAGGTGGAAGAGTTACCTGGGGTCAGGAAGGTGAACCTGAGCTGTGGGAGACTTAAATAGCTCCACCTCAGCCAGAGGCTGTGCTGCCTTGTCAGACCAGGTGTCTGCTCCCCAAAAAACTGCTCAAGGTGGAGTTCAGGGTTCAGGGCTGATGCACAGACTGTGACTGAGGGCTCCTGGCTGGGATGATGCTGGGTCTGAAACTATTTCACTAGCAAAGCACATTCAGATCCTGCAGTTTCAGGGCTCCCTGTGGCTGCTGCAGTCAGTGGAAACTTTGTCACTGAGTGCAGAGAATTTTGGTCTTGGAGCAGGAACTGATTTAATTGAAATCAAGCCCCTTCTGTCATGAACAGTGCTGGAGATGTCATTAATTAAACATTTGCAATGTGTTTTGACATCTCCAAAAGTAAAACACTGCTTGGTGGGGAGATGGGCAGCCCTCTTGGGAGACATGGGCCCTCCTGGGGTTCCTCAACAAAATTCCCCTCCAGCTCTGTTGTGGGGCTTTAGCATGGCCTGAAATGGCTGGATTTGCTCTTACAGCAGCCAGGAATTTGGAATCAGTCTGGAGGAAGCATCAGGCCTCTGCTCCTGGCTGCAGCAGCAGCTCTTATCTGTGATTCCTGTCCCTCTTCCTCAAACCTCAGCAGCCAACACCAACCACATCGCCAGCTCCGGGCAATTTCTCGCTCAGGGAATTCTTCCCAGGGATCCAGGGCTCTGTTAGTAGAGTTCTTCGAAAAATAAATCCCACTGAACAGTTTCTGCCATTCAGCTGAAACAGAGATATTTCCTCAGGAAGGCATTGACTGCAATGACATTTTTCACATTGTTTTTCGAGCAGCGTGGCTGCTGACATCGGAGAGCTGTTCTCCGTGTGCCTCACTTTGCTTCGACTTTCCTGTTTGCTTTTTATTTCACCCTGGCTGTGGTGGTTCATATGCACGTCTCGTTTCTTTGAGACCTCACAACAGCTGCCAATATTCAAAGCTGTCACTTATTCCAGCATGTCACCTGGCTCCTGGCAAAACCAAGAGCCCGGACATCAAGTTGCTTGGACCAGAGAGCTTTGATGTTTCCGCGGTAAACCCGGAATTTCTGAGTAAAAGTCCCTCTGGGGTGGAAGTGTCGCTTCTCAGGCAGCTCTGGCTGAAGCTGCGGGTCGCTGGGAGCAGTGTGGGCTGTGCCATTCCATTGCTGAAGGCACCGGGAGCTCCCGATCCGGCTCCTTCCTATTGACGGCAGTGGATGTTTTCCTCCGGGCTCAGCCGTGTTTGTGTGTTGTCCTCTAGCGGCAGGCTGGGGAGAGGAGGAGAGCGCTGCTCCAGCGCCGCCCTGCTCTGTCTGCTTTTAAAGGATGGGGCTGAGACTCTGGGACCAAACACCGGGGAGGCTGTGGCTGTGTGTACCCCTGGGTGTGGGGCACCTCTGAGTGGCAGGTGGCAGCCCGGGTGATATTTCTCCTGCTGCCACACAAGAAGAAGTCCTCTTGCAGCTTTCTTAAAAGCAGGGGAAACCAAAAAGCTTTGGGAAAATTTAGAATACAGCCTATGTGGGGTTCAAGGCGCTGAACTGCAAGCACAGCCACGGCCTCAGCTGCTCAGGGGCACAGAGGGGTGGTGGGAGTGGGTTGCATTTTTCACACCAGCAGATGCTCAGGGGGGTCTTGCTCTGGAGTCCAGCCTTGGACCTGAGGGGAGCCAGGACTCTGTGTACCAGCACTGGCCAGATCCTCTCCTTGGGCCAGAAATGAGAGCCCAGACAGGCTTTGGACTGTGCCTCGCAAGGGTCTCTGGAGCTGTTGGTGTTCAAAGGCCAACAGAGTTGCTGTGGAGGTGTAGCTGGTGCAGGGCTGTACATCTGCTCTAGGTGACCTTGCACTGGCAGGGGAGTTGGACTAAGTTGATCTCCACAGGTCCCTTCCAACCCTGTGATCCTGTGAATTCCCATTCTGGTTCAGACCTACCTTCAATCTGTCTGGCCCAGCACTTGTGCTCACCAGGAGGTGGCTGACCTTGGCAGCTGATGGCAGAGGATGCTGGAGATCCTGAGGAGGATCTGGCTGGGATCCTGCTGCTCATGGTGCTGGCACAGCTCATGGTGCAAGAGATGGTGGGCAGTGGTCATCCCACATCGTGAGTGGTGCCAGGGGCTGATATCAAGGAGAGCCTGGAGCAGAGGTTCAGCACCTCTCAAGGTGGGATTGAGGAGGTGTGTTGCTCCAGCTGCCACCATCAGGCTGCCATGGCCGTGGATCCCCAGGAAATCCGAGGGGTGGGCACTTGTCACTCCTCCTGTCACTTGGCAATACTAACCCAGTCTGCCCCTACTGCTGGGGGTGGGAAGGGGGGTCTAAATAGTCATGGCCTTGCTTATCTCCAGTGTTTTGACCTCTGCACAGGAGCTGATGGAGGAGGGCAGTGGCTGGATGCTGCTTGACTGGAGCAGGATAAATATGAGGAACAACACAACACGGTCCAGAACTCACTGGGCGGCCCAAGCCGGAGGCTTGTTTTGTTTTAGTGTTTTGTTGTCTCTCTCTCCCCCTCTGGGTTTCGTGGCGCTTGAGCTGCAGGGCTGGAAAATTATTCATCCAAACCACAGCTCCCCTGACACCCTCTGGAAGCATCTGTGGCTCCAGACTCCACTGCAGCAGTGGGTGGGAGGTCGTAAATTCATCATCGTCACCAACTTGGCCTCCTGTCAGGCAGGACGTGGAGCACAGAGCAGTGGGCTGTGCCACAGTCACAGACTGTGTGACTGTCACAGCCCCACTGAACTCAATGGGCAAAACCTGTCAGCCAGTTTGTGTGACAGATCCCTGTCCTGTGCCTGTCCCGGTGATGAGAAGGTCCCACCAGAGCTGCTGGAGCAGCTGTGCTTTAGCTGCAGTTGTCTGCAGGTTCCCCTTGGCTGCTGGCTCTGCTGGGAACACCGTGGTGGTGTGTTAGCCAGATGTGAGGGCTGAGGGATCACTTGCTCCTGGACTTAGTCCCTGAGTGGCAGAGACTGCTGTCTCTGTGCACAGACACAGGAGACCCAGGAGCACTCTCCCAAGGGACTGTAGAAGGATCCTGGTGCACAGCCCATCTGCTGAGGCAGATGGACAGGGATGTGCTGAACTGAGCTCCAGTGGGGCAGGTGCCAGCAGAACTCACCCCACTCCTTTGTCAGTCACTGCCACCAGCTGAGGGTGAACTGGGGAGTGGCCAGCTTGTCTCACGGGGATGACGTTCTGCTCTAGGCAAGAGCCCACAAGCTGTCCCTGGGAATGCTGTCCCATCCTGAGACCTCTCCTGTGGAGCAAGACCCAGACCCTCTCCAGAGGCAATATGTGCTGAGGGTGAGGCAGTGAGGAGAGGGCTCCAAGCTGATGGGATTGAGCCTCTGGAGAGAAAGTACCAGCACTCTCACTGTCCTAGGGGTTTGTTAGGGTGGACTTGCAGGTCCTGCCAGAAAGGCTGCTGTCCTGTAGCCCAGGAACTAACTGAAAGCTGGACATC